ATCGTGAACCAACGTGCAGGCATTGATAAATTCATCAGAGTCGCGATCTCTAAAATATCAGAAAAAAAACCTTAACAGCAAACATGAGGTCACAAAAATGTTCCAGAAAGTACAAATATACAATGGCTGTTATGTGGCGAAATACAATATAAAGCTATCAACTTTATAGCAGAAATAGAAACATTCAACCATCTGCTTACCTTTCCTCCTGGGTGGAATTCGTGCCAGTTGCTTCCAGTCGTGTGACGACGGCTTCCGCCCGAATGGCGTACTGGCTCAACACTAAACACCAATCAACCTCATTTAAGAAACTAGGACATATGCATGCATTCTGCATCCCACAACACGACATGAAACTAACTCTCATCTCTTAATCTCCGAGTCGCCATCTTGACCCTTTCAGTGTAAGTACTGGGCTGCAGGGCATCCATTTCAGCGTCAACCGCTGAACACACCTACAATGGAAATGAAAATATTAAGCTATAACATTACCACGCTGCACTGGCATTGCTCTTGGTCGAAGTCGAAGAAGAGCAATGGCAAATGAATTGCAAAATATTAAAAAAAACAAGCAAATAATTTAGTTAGGTTTGTGCTGTTATTCTGGACTACACTATGGGTAAATTGGAGATAAAAATATCGAAGAAAAGTAGTCTACTGCTAGGGCATTACGAAATGAAACATACACGGAGCGACCTTCCCCGAATAGCTCCAGAAGCCCGATCAAGCATGTCACCATCGCCTTCATGAACAGCCTAAATTCAAGAAAAATAAAAAATTGGAACGTTCATTGCAATAGATCCAAGTCGGGAGTAACCAGACACGTGTTACTTACTTGTAACCCCGTCATTGCATCCTCAACTATGTGAGCTTCACTGACGGCCAGAAAGTCGTCAAGCGTCATGATTGAATCAATGGCCATAGTCAAAAGCCGAACCTTAATTGTACAGTGAGCAATGCTTCAACAAGATGGACTGCAACAAAGAAGAACACCACTTACCTTATCTTGCCATATATCCCGGAACATTTCCATATTCTCCTGCGCCACTTTACTGTCAGCACGAGCACACAACAAGTGAGCAGCATTCACAACCTAAAACACTTTCTACAGCTTTAATGTAAAAAGAAAGAAAATAAAATGACAAATATTTACGTTTGTTTTGAGCAACAAAAAACAACAAGACCGTTATCAGGACGTTTCAGACACTTGAGGATAGGTTTTGCGCAATTACTTTCTTATTTAGAATGCCCTCTCAAGCAAATAAAAAATTCCGAACAAACCTGTGGAGCCAAGTTCCTCAACTGATTTGCTGTGAACCGGATGATCCGGACGCCCTCCACATCGGATGACATTTCGCATGCCAAGTGTGCTACCTAATAATTAGAGATCAATGGGTTTGTAACAAAAATTACAACTATCACAATGAAGCTTCTTCGTTTTCTGATATCACGACTGTGCTTACATCAACCAATTTGCTAGCATGCTCCAGAAACAGATGACCAGCTTGAGTAGTTCCATCGACGTCCCTCCTCTTTGCCGCATCAATTAGTATCAAGCAATGGCGTACTTGTATCCAAGAACGCGTCGCTCACATGATCAACTACAGCTCGTCGTAAATGCCTTCAAGAAGAAGTGCATATTCGGATACGCAACAGTACAGAATCAGGAAGCATTTTAAAAATATCAAGAAAAAAATAGAAATAAACCTTCGCAAGTCCTTGGCCTTTCGTCCCACAAGTACCATTGCCAGGTCCACATCCTCGTTGTTCTCTCTTCCACACTGGAATTGAAATTGGATGTATTAAGAAGTCACAAATGAATGAGTCGTATGAGAATACAAAAACTTCTTTTGTGGGTTCTTTTCCAGAGGCACAACATAAGATTCCAATTTCCCTGATCGGAACGCACCACTATTCGTTCTAGAGCGTGATTACAGTCAAAATATTTCCGGAACTCGCTTTCGGTACATTGTGTCATGCTCCTCATGATACTGAGGAAGCGGGCTGCTTGACAATAAAATAACACAACGATTACAGCAGATGTGACAGACAAGAGAAAAAGGTGGCTATTTTACTTACCATATGAATCGGAATCTCTCACGACCGGAGACCCCCCCCCCCTCAACCGACACATCGAGGAAAACTATAAGATACGATTCCTCCTGTTCCCACCAGTAACAACTCCTTTCTCAAACCGCCTATTGGGAGATATGGTTGCTCTTTCAACGTATGTGTCGACCTTGTAGCAGCTTATGTACAAGGGGAACGTTGGATATTGAACATATGCTCAATATGAACCGTAACCTTCTTCATTGTTAGATAAATTTCGCATCCGCCGTAAAAAAGAAGATTTGCAAGGTTCTCGAACGAGCCATTTCTAAGTGTTAGTAAAGTTATAGAAAATATTAAGAAATGACCCTTTCGGACAAATATAGAAGAAAGTTCTTGAAGAGCGTGAGTTTTTATAATTTCAAAAAATCATAACTTCCTTCAAACATTGTAAACTAGAAGGTGGTTGAGATTACTTGCAATATTCCGTATGTCAAAAATGGCCTTTGATGGTTTTTGCCATAGCACCGTCGAGAGATTCTCGCTTCCTGTCTTCCTTTGACATTTCATGCGATGACCCCTCAACTGTTCTTTCATAGAACGTATTTGTAGCACAAGGAGGTAGCTTTGAATTCACAAGCTGAATATTCAGTCAGCTTTCTGCATTTTAGAAGTGTGGAAATGCTGCAAGGATTCAATATAAATGGTTGTATAGTCTTATGAAATCAATTTTGGAGATTGCATCTCGTCATGAGTGGAGGATTCGTTCCTGGCACCTTAAAAAATCTCCCGAAACCTCTTGATTGCCCTTTCAAAATGACACCTCTGCCATGTGAATGGCAAGCAGAATTTAAACGCATGACCATCGGTCGAAAGCTCGCTCGGAGACACGCACTGCGCTATCACATTCGGAGAGTCCTCACTTCGTTCGCTCATACCACTTGCCGTTGCTGCTGTACCGTTGACAGCAGCATCACGACCCCCTTCCACGTAAACCCAATATGACTCCCACGCCAGGGATTCCTTAACGCACACTTAACCCTGGTCCACCGCCACAAATTTTCCTTTGAATGTTGACGTGCACTGCCACCATAATTGTTCAAATGTTGCTACAAGTCATGGTCTGCGACTGTATTTAATCATCAGATTGCTTAAAAACGTCGCTGGACGAATGCTGCAGTTGGTTTACAACACAATAACAAAACGCTCACACCACTTTCATTATTCCCACTCTCGTCATCGCCGACTACCTTGTCGAAGGGAAAGAGGTATCCCGTTTTTTGTGCTTTATATTGGAGAAATCTAACTAATGCAAAAACTGAACAGATTGTTCCACATTTTGAAACCGCTGCCTAAACGAATATTAGGATCCTATATTAGAGTGCGGCGATTCACACTATGTGGCTTATAACTTTAAATTCATGGATTAAAAGTCGTAAGATTCCTAACGTCAAACTTTGTAAACTAGAAGATGTTGCTCAGTCAAGTCCAGTAAAAAAAATCGGTGGTTGGACGTACCCCATTTGCAATATTCCGTATGTCTCAAAATGGCCTTTGAAGTTTTTTTGCCCATAGTACCCACCTTATAACACAATAGACTTTGATTTGAAAAACTGGTAAAAAACCTGTGGGAATGGGTGGAGCCAATACCGATTTTCCCCATAGGATTATGATCAGGCCGAGAGGGTTCGTGCACCTACAATCTCTTTCTTTGATACATTGACTCCAGTCGATGGCCTAATAAATTATTTTCCAAGTAGACAGAGTTCTTGTACAAAAAGGAAGGTAGCTTTTGGATTACGTAGCTTTCTCTGAGCAATTTTGCGGATAACGGAAATGCTGCAAGGATTCAATTTAATGTGGTTAATTAGGAAATTTGGAAGTTCAATTTGGAACTTATGCATCTCGTCAATGGAGGTGTGGGTATTCGTTCTTCTGTGGGGTTTCCTTTAACAGTCTCCCTCCGAACTCTTGCATGCTCTCTTCAAAAGTGACTCATTGCGGAACCAGCAGAATTAAAGCGCGCGCATCGCGATCATCGTGATCAAAACATTCGAATTCCGGACACAAAGCCGTGCAGCATAAACTTCCGGACGAGTTCGCGTTTCGCTGCAATAAACAAATTCAGCATTCGCCTTCTGCATTTAAATTAAGAACATGCAGTAAGCGCACTAACAGCGACCCCCCCTTCCACGCGTAAACCTAAAATATGAACTCCCAAACGCCAGGGATTCCCTAACACACAGCTACGTCACTGGTCCAAACTTCCTGGAAAGACCCACACTTCCCTTGTTTCGAATATATGGCATGGTCCGGCGGATTGTAATTTTTCGCCGCTTTTGAGTGTTGACAGTGCACGTGCATGTCTAAGCGCTTGCAAATAGAGGTACCTATACATGTTCACGAGATGTAGAATGTTGCTCAGGAGAGGTAAGAAATGGAGAACAGGAAGTATTTAAGAAGACGTTAACAAGCTCGGAAGAAATAGTGAAAGGGAATGGAGAGTGGCGTTAGGAAAGTTACACAAATACGGCGCGGAAGGTCGACCGGAGAAGAGCACGCAGTGTCACAGGTTGCAAGTTTATTCTCATCAGTAGAAGGGTCAATGGAAGGCCGGCTCGCCAATGCCCGATAAACCGTTGTCGCAGAAAGAAGGAGGTATCCCGTTTTCGCAGTTTATTTATTGGAGAAATCTAAAAATGAAAAGCTGAAACAGTTGTTCACATTTTGAAACGCTGTGCTAAACATTTAGGACCATATTAAGAGCGATCAACCACGAACGATCTTAATTCATATCCTAGCAATTCGACGGCTGATTGTCACCGATTCCCATTAAGATGCTATGGATGCACCCCCGAATACAGAGCAATCCGCGAATGAAGCATTTCTTTTGAAACCCAGTGAATTTTTTTATTACAACGCTTTAGCCTGGAGCAGATACGAAACCTCCGAATTACCGTTTATAAGCGTTACTGGTGAAAAAATTCAAATGGAGTTGAAGTCTCTCGGACTCTTTCATGGATAAGAACCGTAATGAGTGATTAAAAAAGATATTTCTAGTTGAGTGGACGAACAAATGCTGCCCTTGCACTTCACTAATCGTGTTGATGCCCACATCTACAAAGAACACCACACCACTATTGGACTTGTCTCGCGTCACAGTACAATAGTCCACCTCAATTGCCAGCATTATCGTAAACGCTATGCATCCCTCATTGTTTGACCTTGGTTCCTCGTCCCCATAAGGACGGGCCACGCGACACAAACGGTGACTGCGATCTGGCAATTATCCAACGCCCTCACTTTAGAAGTGATGAAAAACAACGCATTGCACATCCTCGTTTTAGATTTCACTTGACACCCAGTGCTGCAACTTGTTACGGTAACAGTTCCAAGGAGCTAAAACGGTCCTTAATTCCCACGGCTACAAAAGACAAAGGCGATTACTCAGCATATGTTATTGCAGATGGCAGAACATGGTACGCGTATTGACGCGCCACCATAGATAATGACTAAACATGTTTGCTATAAAGGTCACCTTGGAAATTAGCCTAACTCATGGAGGAGGCCGTCTCCTCCAAGATAGTGACTGAGTAAACAAACCTGAACAAATTCGAATCCCAATGAAACTATTACAACTGAATACTTCCAAGGGAATATTTTCCTTGCGAGAAGGAAAACCGAATCGTGACCACTTCCGTGCAAATTCGATGTACTTCTTTTAGCATGTGTATTTACCAACTTAAGTTCTTCTCACGACAGATCCATTCCCATTTCTCAAAAGGTTTGATGGAAAACACTCCCCTATTGAAGAGGGCAAAGAACTACGCACGGAACAAATATAACATGTACTTTTATACTTTCTCATTGATGTGAAGTTTTTAAAGCTGCGAGGTAAAAGCCATTCCCAAGATCGTGGAATCACGAAGAGTGAGATACGATGACTCCCTTCTCATGCTACCTTTATTGTATTTAGTTGAAGTTTTTTCTTACATTAACGCTTTTATCTCGTTTCCACCACTCTACTCACTGTCGGTTTACAAACTGTCAAATCGCTGTTTATAAACTCGTGTACAGCGGCGTCAACTGGACATCTCAGCTAATCTTCGTAATCCCAGTCCGCGTCGATAACGCTTCGAAGCAGCACATCCTTGTCTCCACAAAATAAACAGTCTTATTTAGTAAGAACCAGAGGCGGAAATGTACGAAGTAAGCAAACCAGCCCTTTTGGCGTTTCTGCTGGGACCGTATGCTGAATGTTGGGGAGGGGATGGGGTCCCCGACGGTCGACGGACTACTTCAACTCGGTCCTTAAAACCGCCTCAATTTGATGCTTACCTCAGGACTAAGCCTTAGGCTGGTGTCAGAGTCCGCGATCCGTCGCAGGTTTCGCTGATTTTCGCGATTTGCGCGATTCACGCGACGGATCGCAAAAATTGCAAGTGTGTGAACATTTGAAACACTGAATATGAACAAGTGGAATCATGAGCAGTCGTCATTCAGCCATCACTATCAAGCAGAAGTGGCGGCAGGATTGGAGAACACCTTGCAGTATTGATCGGGCACTTGTGATTTCCGTGACCCGTCGCGTGAATCGCGCAAATCGCGAAAATCAGCGAAACCTGCGACGGATCGCGGACTCTGACACCAGCCTTAAGGAGGGATCCGACTGGCCGAAGAGGAGCAGTCCATCCCTCTATCCAGGATCGATTCTGAGGTAATGTTGAGCAAAACCAGTCCACTGATTCCGCGAAAAAGCGTTGAATGACACTAGACTGCAACCATATGCTTCGATCACGTCTCGAAGGTAAGACGACCGAGTATCAAGCGAGTCCGTCGACCCAACATCCCCCAACATTCAGGGCGATCCATTCACACTCGCCCAACATTGCCCATAACGACGAAGGTCCAGCACAAAAGCGCTTAAAAGGAATTAGAGTTTGTTAACCTCGCAATGGTTATCATTGTAGCGCCATTACATCAGATACCTTCCGAAAGCGGATCCGATATTAGCAATTAAACCTTTATCAATTGGAGTGAAATGAAATTGGACAAGACTTAAGGGTCCGATACAATCATAATGCTGCTACAATAACGAAAGAAAGTAGTGCGTAGCGCACCCCGAAAAGGATTAATGAAAGCTTAGCATTACTCACTATTTGGTCTTGCTTATATCGACCCATTGAGTAGTAGTTGTGATAACATCGTACTATATAGCCTTTTGGCAACGGAGAGAGCTGCTAAGCTTTACACGAATAACTCTAACAAAGCTAGCCTCAAAGTCTTTCCCTTCCACTGTTTGGTCTCATATCCGAAAAACAACGAGACAACGCATAGTTGCATTTTTGCAAAGAATCTTTGATCCTGCATTCTAATGCGAACCCCCGAAATCAGCATACAACGCATGTGGATCATAAGAAACTTTACATTCACACAAGTGTCACTTGCAATTGCCACTTTTTCCTTTCTTTGCACCAGTTTCCACGCTGCTGACACTTGGAACCAGCCGTGTGGGACAATAGTGTAAAGGAAGGAAAAAGAGAAAATAGCCATGTGGTCATTATGAAAAAATTACCCAAAATCAAGCCACAATTGTAATTTCTTGGTTTTCGTCATAACTTGTCCTCAACTTCTCACAGCGTATGCTTCCCCGTAAACGATTCTCCCTTGATAAACGACCATATGACGCACAACTAATTTCGCATCCGTCAATTGGTCACGCGAACGCGCTCGACACTTCGTTTGCATAATTGAAGATGTCATTCTAGAAGAAATGGTGTCTTCGCGCTAAAACTAATCAAGGTCTTTGAAAGACGGTGAACGATGTTCAGTGGAAAAAAAAGAAGCAAGCACCTAATTGGCCCAAAATATTTTCGACAAGTTATGAATGAAATACTTTTGCAAAGACGCAGTTTCTTTCCGATTCAAAACGCAGTGGGCCGCCCCTTCGGATGTAAACCTCGATGAATGAGTGAAGCGTCAAAGTCCGATAAGCCTTGTGCAAACACACTCAAGAGGAGCTATTCGCACGCGACCATCAACACAAGTGGACAGTAGTCAAGACATCAAAGTGTACGTGAAAACAAGCTTATGATGTTAATATGAGTCTCCACATAATTTCAATAATGTTTAACTACGGAAACTAAATCCTGATCTACTCCAGCACAACAGAATGCATTTTGAGCTCGGTTTATATTTCAGTGCCACTTAGTCATTACCTGCGTCAATCAAGCATTCAGAATTCCACTATTCAATATATCACTATCTCCTGGCATTCAAATATTTTCGCAGCATCCCCTCCCTCACGCAATCAAACGAATGCGTAAACACTTTCGTTTTCGTTATTCAAATAATTTCTTCGATCAATTGAGTGCCGCACTAGGCCAACATCTGCGACAAAAGCGGATTAAGAGATTCTCCTCGCAAATTCGACGGCAACGTCATACCCACACATGAATTAAGAAAATGGCTTCGTTGCCTTGAGACGAGAGACTAACCAAGTAAATTGAATGCCAGACGCAAACACAACCTTCAATAGTAAACTGAAAGTGGCCAACTTACACTCTTTTCGTATTCGCCAAGTAGATCTTGAAGTGCTTGCCGAAGATTATTGCATTCATTCACAATCTTCTGTTTCCGATCAGCCCGAGTACTTCCTATACAAAAACAGCTTGAGCAGAAAATCTTTCCAGTATTCATGACTTTTAGTCTTCCCCTAATGAAAGATTTATGACGCCAAAAACCACACCCTCCAATTTTAAAAGAATCGAAATTCCCCTCCTCTTCCTTTCGAACCACCTCCCCCCCATGGCCCCACCCCTTATATACTTCTGTGTTATGTAAAATCATTTTATTCTATTGTGAACATGCAACCTCACTATGTCCTCATTGTGAAAATCATGAGTACAATAGTTAAAATAAGAATAAATAAATAAATAAATAAATAAAAAATATTCTTCCGACCATTGCCCCCACCCCGTCCTCCAATTATTTCTTTGATGATCATGATATTTTTTTTCTACTGTAAACATGTACCTTACTACCTCCTCATTGTGAATATTACGGCAACAGTAAATAAATAAATAAAAATATATAATGATTCTTAACCACACCAATTCACAAAAATAAATAAATTGAGGAAAGGAAAATGAAAGTGATGCATGCTGTCTACCTTGAATCGCGATTGCAGCTGACCCACGCACGATCACGTTGAGAAGTTTTCAAACCGATCGGCGAGTGCGAGGGGCCTTATAAGTGCGGGCAGGTAAACTGTTCTGTAAGACTATCCTCAATCACAGTTAGGAAGAAATAGAGAAGGATTCCTACCTGGAACTGATCGAGCTCAGTAATTAGTTGCCCTAACCGCCCCTGCGATGTAAATGACATGTCCGGTTGCTCACCTAAACAAAAAATTCAAAATATACAAGAGTCATCTGTTAATCGAAGAGAACCAACAGATAAGTAGAAAGATTGACAAAGTAAGCAACTAAAAAAATTAAAAAAAATAACGCTTGTATACCCCTCAGGATAGCATCAATAGCATTCAATGTCGATACGGCTTTCCACTTTGCAGCATAATCGATTATTCTAGCTTCGTCACTTTCAGGATGGCGCACAAAGGCCTAAAAATGTGAAGCAACTTAAAATTTCGACTTGTAGCGGAACTGTCTCTGATACCTTCGATGTGGCGAAATTAAAGGGCATAAGGTCTTCAGGTGTCCTTTGCAGGCCTAAAAGGTCGTCCTTTTGGTTAGGATCCCGTAGATCAACAATACGTCTTCTAAAGCAAAAGATTTTATTGGAGACAGTCCCCGTATGAGGCCATAAATTATCATATGCTGAATTATATCGTTTTCCCGTTCTCGCATTTCACCAAATCAAGAACAAGTCTATAAATCATTCAATGTGAATCAGGAAACTCATTATTATCATTTTGTAACTTCACTACAGCCCAAAGGGCGCATGCATAGTTGGTCAAGCACAACAATTTGAAATTATGTAATAATAAATAAACAAATAAATAAATAAATGATAACAAAAAATGTTCAAAAAAGCGAAGAACTACAGTCTTAAAACAAAACTTCTACAATCAAAATAATGATCCAACGAAAAATGAAAAACGAAATAATAAGAATGAAACTCACTTCACGGTCTCCTCCACCTCCTCAATCTCTGCGATCAAAAGTTGGTATCGATCAATTACTTCTTGGTTTGACGTCGCAGCTCTTACACCATCGAGAAGTGTGCGTATCTTCAACAAAAGGACCGTTTTTAGATATTGGCACTTTCAAGTAAAACCCAGTATTGCATGCAGGGCACATAAAAATCCGGTCATATTATGGACTTTAGAAAGTGCTCATTACAATTCGAATAACACCATATTATTCCAAACACATGCGATTCAAACAAAAACACGTAATTGAGGATTGAATGCAATAAGATTTCGCATCGATCGGGCAGAAACATCGTCATTTTATTGGATACAGAGACTCCCTCTTGCACTTTGTCCAAATGGGGTTGAATGCACGCAAAATACAAAATATGTGCATAAAAAATCGCTAACACTACTCACCTTGTCCACTCCTTCAATGATCAGCGCAACATCTATCGAATCGGCGAGAATAAGGAAGTGAGCGACGGCCTGAAGAGATAATGTGTATAGACCTTACACTTGTTCGAGAAACATTTACCTGCACAGCGGTCTAAACTCGTATAGCAGATATCATTTTTAATTGTAGCAACTCACTTGTAGCAATGCCTTTCCTGCAGTGATCGCAGAGGCGCGTCTTTGCGAGGATGAGCTATCTCGAATAAAATCGCGTCCAGCATACGACATAGATTGTCCTGCAAATTCAGAAACGCTCCTTTGAAACTTTCCGACTTTTTCAACAAAAATGTGATTCTCATTCACTCAGTTGTGATCCTGTCACAATCACATGTATGCGCCAAGCCCAATAACTCTCTGACTGCCAAATAAGTCTTTCAGAATGCGAGACCTTTTAACAATTAATAGTTATATTAAAACCAGCTGGGCTTGATATGATATCTATTGCCTTGAGAGATTTCAGAGCCTCAGACAAAGTGTGCACATTTACACCCCTAGATGGGTTAATCAACAGTTAAACACAAATGGGGAGATTCATAGCAGTTCTGGATGCCGTGCGAAGATCACCAGAGATATCAAAGGTTACCATCATTGTTGTAAGAGGTTTTGATACCACCGTTCTTGATTTCTGCTCAAGTTACGCCATTTCTTCTGCAACTGACTCATTGATGAGCAATCCGTTCATCAGTGGATGTTACAACGGTGTGGCAAAATAACGGAAGTTTAACACTACACCACTAGTCCAGTGATGAGCGGAAGGACTTACGTATAGCAAAAGTTAAACAACCATAAAAAATACAGATCCATACTAGTATTAAAGAAGCGATGGAGAGAGAAATATTCGAAGAACTTGTTTCGAGAGGCATCGAAAAGGGAAAGAGATGACGTGTTCAGGGCTACAGCAAATTGATGTAGATCTCAATACAGAGCGATGACCTTAACAAGTGCAAATGTGAGAGATGGTAACATTAGATGAGAAGTTCTGTTACTGCTCGTTACAGTCAGCTCATATCTTTTACGTGGCTGACCAGCTAAGAAGAGAGCTTTGAATCCTTTTTACAGCAAAAACATGGGAAAATGGAAGTGAAGTGCTTAGGATATGTGGGCTGTGAACAAGATTGGACAGCAAACCCCACTTCACTTATCACATCCTGATTTAGGCTTTCACACATAGTATGATCTTTACAGGAAATATAAAGATGAAACATAAAGTATGAAAATAATTTGAAAGCATACCGGTATCCCGCACATCCACCAAGGCATCGGTTAACGTTTCAAGAGCGGATCCATGTGCTAATGGACAAGACCGAATGGCAGCATCACCGTGTTCAAGAAACTGTTGAACACTACGCTCGACGGCCACTACTAGGCTTTCTGCGGTTTGTCCAGGTTGTAAAGGGAAGGTTTCTGTGATGTTTGTCACCTAAAAACAACGGAGTGGCTATAAGAACATTCTTACAAATTTTTAAATCTCATAACCAAATAAATTCAATTACCTTCTACAAAAATTACTCTAATTGAAAAGATTATTAGAAAAAAGGGACGCATTCTGCACGAAACCTTAAACTTTCTGCCGGTTCGTGGAAGTCTTTATTAGTAATCATGGATCTCGATTTAAGGCACAAAAAATCCTTATGCCCATTACCAAATCTAAGCAACGTAAGTCTAACAGTATGTTAAATTTCCATGAGTAATCAGATCATTTCTCGAATGCAGGAAGGTCAATATTGCGAAGGCTTGTTGTGGCCTGCGCTTAGACGTATACAAAAAGGTGTGCAAGCGTATGAATGCCTACGAGCAAAGAAAAAGAGGCTATAAATAATGGGTTTAGATGAGGTATAACAACTGCAAGAAGCCTTTAATGTGAATTACCCATTAGCCCAACACGTGAATATAACTGGTAACTCCAAACACGTAAGACATGACGCACAAATACAAAAACAAAAGCCTGCAGAAAAACTTACATCATTAATCAATTGGAATATGAGATTCTCGACAGTCTTGGTTTTTATTTGGTTGAAATTAAAAGACGACTGCGTCGATGCTCGTACGACCATTAATAGGTGAAATCAGAAAGAAAGGAGGGATTCAGAATTTCTAGGTGCACAGATACCTGGAAAACCGTAGCAATTATAAACACGAGACAAATTTGAAGGACAGCAAATGAAATTCCAACGCTAAAGCAGTTTTTTCCGCAGAACACAGTGTCAGGTATTGCATTTCGTGACGAACGAATTTCACACAATAAGAAGAAATACCACGGTCGCCTTTCAAGGCATTCGAGCGTGAACTGCTACAAAGCAACGCCCCCATGACGAATTTTGGTACGTGAAAACGCGTGGGCCCACTTACACGGCGTTCAATGCTACAGTAGCCCAATATTGTCTGCTCGGCTGACAGAGGGCTGCAGTTGTCCTTGTGAGATGTGCTGAATTGCTCTCTAAAAACTCAGACCGCCTAGCCACATTGAGCTTAAGCTTGAACTTTTCATCAAAAAGCATATCTTGTAGAAGAAACGAATGCAATATCCGGATGTGGTTCACTGGGACAGAAAGCGACTTTTCCGCGTTTTGCGCTGCAAAAGAGTCGCTTTCTGTCTCCTAGTGAACCACATCCGCGAGGAGCCATCGTTTTGTACTCCTACTGACTAG